CACTGGGTACGTGATTGCGGCCACGCTCATCTATCGAACCTGAACACGCCATTATGTGTGCTTAGCTCATTTGACCCAAAACTTGGCACGAATTAGTCATCAAGCCATTTAATGATGAGATTCCGGAATTCTACATATTACAGAAATTTATTTGCTGCTGCCGGGAACTTATTTCATGAACTTCCAATTACGAACTGGGAAAATGTGGAGAATACTTGGAAGCATAGACTGACCGCATGTGTATAAATAGTACGATACGTAATACGATTTGCTCTGTCTTAATCTCCCGTTGGAACGTATTTAATATTTGAAACTAGTAAAGCTTTTGTAATCTGTCTGCAGGGATCGGACCGTCAATGATGTTTTGAACCTGCCAAATATATCTCGCTTTCGTTTGTTATCGCTTACGAACTCTGCCTTACAAATGTTTTTAGCTTGTTTAGGCAGAAGCACCGTGCACTTCGCAGTAGAGGCTTCAGTTATGGCATGGCGCTTTCAAGCCTCAAAATTCAAAAACACCACACCACACATTCCCAAAAGAGAGGTTGGTTCTTCACGTTAAGTTTACTTCAATTGTTGGTTCTCTGATCACATTTTGATTGATGAATGTTATATTCTTTTAGTTAATTCTTATATCAATTTGATGTTTTTAGTAGTTTACATACTCAGTCACTAAGAGCAAATGTCTTCAATGACTGACGTAACGCCTTATCAATGCTTTCTTCTGATGTCAGAATTATCCTTTCGGATCCTTGTCTGTTTCTAGCGAAAACTTTATTATTTTACCACTTTTTATCTCTATGACAACGAAAACTACTGAATTAAAGGCAAAAACCATACAATTTTGGCGTCGTGAAATCACTTAGGTATTTATATTGGTCACGAACTTATGTGTTTGAAAATGTAACAAAAGTAGCAGTGAATGCTGTGTATTAATGGTAATGTCTAATACCTCTATGCAAATCTCACCATGTCGAAGTTAAACATTTCTAAAGCATTGCGACTGGGGCTCTTCCATGGCTGATCATTTATAGGATACTATATTTGACGTTCCTGTTGGCAATCTTTCATGTACAAATAATGGAATTCAAGCTAGCGCCAGTTACTTAGCATTTCATGTGGAGGGTGAAGGTTTGTTTCAACAATGTATCTCGATTTATTACCAGTATGCAATCTCCTTTGGTTGTATTTTATGCTACACGTAAAAAATCTTGAAGACTCGTCGGTTTTCTCGCTCCTACTCTTTTGCATCTTCTTTTTAGGTGGTAAGCTTGGACTTTTACCAATAGGAGCAAAAGGAAGACGGACTCGAAAAGACATGTCCATAGTCTGTGCTCACGGGGGTTTGTTTTCGATGTGTTTCGCAATGTATTGCCTTCAATTTTTATTCAATTTTTTTAGAGCAGGTAGATGACTTTTGCTTTATGACCTTCAATGATGATCTCTTGTTAACCTGTAGCCGAGATGATAATGTGAGTACTCTTTTAATTTGTTTTCTGCTCGTTTCATCTTTTAAACAATAAACATTTGTTTGTTTCTGAATTTATTTTTCTTTTGCGACTCCAGGTCAAAGTTTGGCGTTTATTGGGTGAGGAAGCGTCACCGATCTGTGAATGCGAACTGAGCGTTGGGCAAGGGCATGTACTTTTGGATGCACTGAGACCACACTCAACTGCAGCAAACATCATTGCTGCTGCTTCTCTGGGGGATGCTTATATAATTGATCTCGTGCAAAAAACAGCTGTCATTAGTAAGTAGTAAATTATTTCCTACTTTAT